ATTTTCATGATATCTTGTGAATTTCTTTGAAAAAGAAATGCAACTTTTATGAATGTAATAATGAGGACATTTTTGTAACTTAAATGCGGTAAGTTATATTGATACTGGTCAATTTGAGTAAAATATTATGTAAAAGTAGAATATACATACCGCCAGAATTAGAAATTAACATGTAAATATCCTACACGTTCATGTTTCTTAAAAAAATGTACAATTCATTTTTTTCCAAAAGAAAAGAACAAAAAACAACATAATGATTCAAATTAGTCCCATATTAAAATGTGTAAACAATGTGTTGAAATAAGGAAAATTGAGTCAGAGGTTTCTGATAATCTTGTTATTAAAATAACTTAAATGGTCAGAGGTGTATATTCCATATAGACAAAAAGGTTGTAGCCTATACTTCATTTTATCTGGAATAAAAATTTTGTTGAATCTTTAAGGATAATTTTAAATCTAGGATAAGGACACCTTATCGTTTTACAAACGTAACATACTTTATGTAACGTAACACTTGACATACAAACATTCGTGGCTTCTCGGGCCCTCTCGGTAGCGTGTCTTGTTGAAATTGTAAACACACCTACGTATATCACTGTAGAAAATTAATATTTGTGGCCTTTAGGTCAAATGTATTAGAAGAAGTATCTCCAAGCTCTGCGGTCTTAAAATTGCATGCAACGCCCACTTGCCATGACAGACACAGGAAGCATCCCACAGATTTGTTAATTTCTCAAAACCCGTGCTTTTCTGGTGAATCTGTAATCATTTAATTGATATACATGTAGACGTATATTTTTAATCAGTAGACAAGAGAGATATAAGAATTTGCGTAACCAGAGGCCCTTTTTGGGAGTTGAACTATGTTCAATCTCCCATGGTCATCACGCATTTAACATGGGCAGTAATTTGTATTGATTATATAGAGCCGAAAGCGAGGCTATTGTGTCGACCGATTTACTCCGATGATATTCAGCAGAGAACATGCATAAACATCCGCCACAAATAGTTCATGTCATTTTCTCCTGAATAGATCTAATTTTCATAATTTGAAATGTAAGTAAATGTAACGATAATGTAATCTTATTTTGAATATTAGATTTCGTTCAAAGTAAAACTAAATTATAAAGAACCTCAAAAGTTTTTCGTAATGGAACTCATTTTTAGTGTAGCGTCATACACTGAAAGAGATACGAACGACAACTTTACATACTGACGGCAAGCGGTAAATCTAGTCTTCCCAACGCCCGACGGTCCCGGATTTTTAGCAATTTTTTTTTTACCGGTGCACAGAATTTATTTAAACTCTTCATGAACATTTTCTTTGTTTAAATGAATTCATTAATGCATAAAAACTTTAGGAAACATGCGTATTTATTACTAAATCAGCAGTATCACCTACCAAAAGCGGTAAATCTAGTACTCTGTTATAAATGTTAAAACCAAAAACGGACACCGATGTTTTCGTAAAATCGCTATTAAAAACAACAAAAGGAAGTATATTTTTTTTAATAAAAGGAAAACCTCATTTACATACCAGATAATTTGTACACACACAAACTCTCACATATACCACTGTTTTTATGTTTGGTCATTAAATATTTGTTTTTAACTTGGTATTGCTTTTTTCTTCACAATATTAAAAAAAATTAAGTTCTGACGTACTCCATGCATAATGTTCGTGTAATTGAAATACATTTATATTCACAGAGAAGTTTTATATAACAAACCCGTTAGCTCTTAAAAGGTTGCTGTGTGAAAATCCACATTTTATCAATATTATTCCTGTGAAACTGAAATTTTCATAACACATTGGTAAAGGTGCCAAGGAAAAATATATTACAAATTTGAAGACTGTAAGCAGTGAATAATATAAATGATCAACCGCATCTAATATGAATATAATGGCAGTGTCTATGTTTTGCAATGGGAAACCCTAAATATATGTAGGATGGAAAAAGTAATAAAAGGTGCACAACGGCAATATGTAATAAAGATTCTATGAAAATTTCGTTCAGTGGTGTAAGAGGAGTTGCGGATAAGAGATGGGTATACCTAAAGCGTAACAAACAGATGGACGGAAATCCCGATTAATAAATACCATCCCGCTTTTCAAGAAGGGGGTATAAAAAAGGACTATTGTAGGCAGACAAACATTATGGCCCATGCCCTTTTTTGCTATTCAATGTCTCTGAATGTCTTTTTCAAGATTGTTGCAACTCAAAAAAATCTGAAACAGTTGTCTGTATTTGAAATAATAATATTGTTCACTCACTTAACCTCCCAATCAAAGATTTTATTTTACACTCCCTTGAGTGCTTTTAGTACTTTGATTATAATGAATTACCCTGTGTAATGAGTCTGACAGACATTAATCTGACTCAAAGCAGACTTGTTAATCTGACTCAAAATCTTAGTAGGAATAAACTCTAATTTTTCTTTTATTTGAGACGTAATGTGTATTAAAATACTTTTGAATGTTAATTTGATTCTTCCTAAACAGAAATGAATGAAAATATTCTGTGTACAACGTATAAGCGCAGTATAATTAATTGTCTTTTATTTTGACATGGTTGAAAATGTCCCCGTACACATGGGTAATTCTAGAGAAATTATCAAAATCATTTCAAGAATAAAAGTAAGTTGATGAAAGATTCTTCTTATTTTATCTTTTGTTTTATATTTGTAATATAATTTTCACTATAAAACATTTTTACCTTAATTTGTCCAGTAATTTATTTTATATTCCTCTTGTTAAAAACATAGGTCAAGATTTACTAAAGAGCGAATTGAGAGCCAAAACTATTCCCTTTGCGGGAAATGTTTAAAGCCAAAGTTCAAGTGTTATTAATAATAAGTCTCTATCAGAAAATTTCATCGAAAGCAACAGGAGTCCATAGTGCAGGAAACGAAAATGATATCTTGAATTATATTTCGTTCGCAGAAAATTCAACGTACTGATCGAATTTTGATTATTCAGTAAGGAAGTTTCCATATTAATTTTCTGAGCAGAGTTAAAGCATAAGTTAAGCGTTCTCAGTTTTGTTAAGTTGTCTTCAAATCACTATATAAACTGTAAATATATCTTCAATATTTTTTTCACTGGTCAAATTAAAACAATTTATTGCAGATGTCTGAGTTTGCAAAAATGCTCCCTTTGACCCCCCTCCTCCTCTCTCTCTCCTTAGTGATGACGGGTTAACACTCATCATAGAAGGAAAAGATACTCGACAGGTGGGCGGAACATTTCAATGGCGTTCTGAACCGTCCTTCTACCATCAACGACGAAGCCATCAACCGACTGCCCAGGTTCCCATCAACAAGTCACTGGACGCCATTCCCACGTTGGATGAGATCCAGAAGCAATTAGTCTGCTGTCAACTGGCAAAGCACCTGGCGGATACTCCATCCCAGCTGAGATTTACAAAGAAGGGGGCGTAGCTATGGTCGAAAATCTCCATCATCTGCTTGTGCGAGGATCGGCCTGCCCAGTCACCCCCTGCACCCACCGTCCAGGTCAACCCCCTCCCCCACAAAGATGAGACAGTGGTCATCGTTGTCACCGACGGACGAATAACTAAACTAGTACATGTGTTTTGGTACTTATCTATTTTTGTTAAACAAATTTATGAGGTACATGTAATTGTTGAATAAAAGTGATAAAAATATGCAATTTTTGTTCAAATCACGGCTAGTAACTCAGTTAATACTCTTTTAATATGTTCATCATATCTCTGAGTAATTCTGGTAGAACTTTCTATCACGGTTGGCAACTGTGTGACAAATACTTTGCAAGTTGCAAATATATTTAGCTCAAATTACCTAATTTGAGCTAATAAAGGGCAACAACTCTGTCTCCAGCACTGAAACCACAACAGATTTGATGCTATCATACATTTTCTCACTAGATAGGGGTATACTTTACCAAATATCACTATAAAGTTTATTCACCCAAAATGGTACCGACCACTCCCAGTGGCTCATGGACTAATTCTTTAAATACAAAATAGATTATTAAGCAAGGAACAATGCCGCAAAATAAATAAAGTGTTGTAGAACTGTAATACTGTTATACTGATGGTTTTTACTACACATTTTGATCATATTACACAATGAGTTTAATTGTGTTAAGTGTTCTGAATTGTTATATATTTTGACTCATTTATTTCATAATACATTTAATAATACATGTCTAGGACCTATTAAAGTCCAACCGTGCTATCTTTTTGTGTCAAATAGAGCACCGCCACAACAAGTATCCATAAAAAATATTTTCCCCACGTCTATAACAACTGAGAATTCTTACGTTTTATAGATTAAAATCTAATTAACATACAATTAACACTATGAAAATTTTCAGTTTATCTTAAAATGCAAGATCTTTATCTTTTGATTTAATTTTATGTCAAAGGTATGAAAAATGATTTTCCTTCGTTTAGTGTATGAATTTTTATGCAAGTTGTAGACAAAAACCATAAATCAAAATTCTTTTCTTCGTTGAGTTTTTACCCATTTTAGACAAATCTTAATCATACTGTTCAAAAAGAACACTCATTATACGAATTAGTCCTTCGATAAGTAATCATTTGAAATAATACTCAATAATATATTCATAATGATATTGAGTAAAAAATATCATTCTTCTTTGTATATACCAACCAGTTTTTTTCTGCATTTTTTCAGTAAGTTACTTTGTCAACTCTTTCTGCATTTCATTGTTCATCTATATCTGTAGAATATTCTTATAAAATGGGTAAAAATAAGTACTATTTTGTAACGTTCAATGCGGTACATAGTTTACCGTTAACACTGTTAAGCAATGTTTAATTAAAACCTAGTCCTACTAGTGAAAAAGTTTATTTTTTCATCAATCAATTACGGAATTGGAAATTAAGAATTTTACTTTTTGTTTTTAATTAAAACGTTAGGGTATCATTTGAAATGCTTTATTTGCATTAAATTGTTAAATTCCGTTTTAGGGTGGTATATAGGCAATGGAGGATGTGCCTGTGCTCAATATGTTGATCCTGTGTGTGGTGTAAATGGAGTGACGTACACCAATGCTGGATGTCTGACATGCGCGTATGTTACAAAAATAAGCACATTATTTTAATATTTTAAAAACGTTGTATTTCTATATAATTTATCGAAGATCAAATTCACTTTGTAGAAAATAAAGCTTTGTTAGGATCAATTTCGTTACTTTGAAGAGTTGGCATAATTGATATTTACACGATCAAAAAGGTTTCAACAGAAAAAAGTTTGGAAAAAAATAAGATTTTCTTGAAAGCATTTTCATATTGAAAATAATTTTGGAAAATACTTAACATTATTTTCTTTATCAACAGTGGGGTCCCCATGGCTTGTAGGGGAGGTTGTCCTTGCTACAGACGCTACTGAACATAACAGAGACAACACTTTACAGGAAAGTCATCAGGGGCCTATAGAATAGTGTTTAGGTCTCTTACGTCTGTAAAAGTGAATTTCTTTGTGTAATAAAAGTAATATTCTTAATATATTCATATATACATAAAAACTTTTCTGTTACCTGCTTCTTTGATTCGACTCCCCTACGAACATAGTTGCTGTGCAAAGGTTGGCCAATAAGCAAGAGTGTTACTTTATGTTCAACTCAATTAGAGCGAAATAATAAAAAAAAATATTAAAATTTAAAATGAGTTGGATATTTCTACGTAAAAATATCCTCATAGATGTTAGTTCTTAAGGTGAGGATTTTTAAAAGACCACAATTTTTCAGGCTTAGGTTGTTTTCACTTAAATAATTGCATGACTGTTCAGTTAAACAATAATTAAGTTCTTTCTCTTATGGATATTCATGACAAGGTTATCTGAAATTGGTCAAATAGTCGAAGACCAAGAAGTCAAACTGTGAAATGTTTATAGGCAGCACACTGCACATGACTGACGGACAAATATTCAGACGAAAGCTGGAAACTCTTTTTAAAAAACTTATTAATTTTCAGATCAGGTATATTGAAATTGTGAGGGAAAAAGTAGTTATGTATGTGGCTTTTGTGTATGTGAAGCTCCATATTTTGTCGAGAAATATGGATAAAAGACATGCGTGTGTTCAACCTGATAAAAATTCAGTTCTTTCAAATAAAGATTTCATTATATGAAAAAAAATAGAAAAACAGTCTGAAATATTACTCAAAATATGCAGTTTACTTCTTAATGGAGAATACGATTATTGAAAGAACAGGAATTCACGCAACGGATGAAGTTAATGCAGAGTCATAAAAAACCCCAAAACAATACAAATATGTGAACAGGGTTTCAACACAGACCCCCGAAAATTCAAGAGACTAAGGAGGAGTACGGATACGATGTCGACTGGTCACGCTCGCTGTTAACTTTGTATTTTAAATGATCAGGTAGATGGAATATTCTGTTGTCAAATTCAGTATAAAATGAAGGCGTAACATGTTAGACAAAATACAGTTTACTGATAGGAGAAATTTGCTTACAAGGTTATAATGCTGACTTTAAACGAGGTTGTTGAAATCCATAAAGCATCAAATTACCTGTCAAAATATTGTCCCAGTAAAAAAAATATATCCTACTTAGTACATGCTCTCTAGCATCGATAAGTTGATAGGCTTGTACTTGAATGTTTCATTAAATTTAATAAAGTTTTGTTGTCAAGTTACCATTGATGTCTTCGTATACCGTGAATGAATGTTTTCATAATATCAATATAATGTTGAAAACACGTTCCTATAGATTAAAGAATACTATTTATACCCGCACTTTCTAAAGAAAGTTCGGGTATATTGCTGTTACTCATGTCCGTCCGTCCGTCCATCTGTCATACTTTTCTTCCCTGAACTCCTCCTACATTTTACACAGCAGCCTAATCATCTTTTGGGAGATGGTTGGTGGTGTCATGTAGATGTGCAGTAAGGTTTCAGAATTTTCAATTTGCCATAGGGGGTCAAATGGGGGTTGAAAAATAACGTTTTTTATGCAAAAAGCCCCATCTACCCTGAACTCCTCTAACATTTTACTCAGTAGCCTAATCATCTTTTAAGAGATGGCTGGTGGTGTCATGTAGATGTGCAGTAAGGTTTCAGAATTTTCATTTTGCCCCGGGGGGTCAAATGGGGTCGAAAAATGATATTTTTTTCTGTAAAAAGCCACATCTTCCCTGAACTCCTCTTACATTTTACACAGTAGCCTAATTATCTCTAGGGAGATGGTTGATGGTGTCATGTAGATGTGCAGGAAGGTTTTGGAATTTTAATTTTGCCCTGGGGAGTCAAATGGGGGTCCAAAGAGCCCCGTCTTCCCTGAACTCCTCTTACATTTTACTCTGTAGCGTAATCATTTTTGAAGAGATAGTTGGTGGTGTCATGTAGATGTGCAGTAAGGTTTTGGAATTTTCATTTTGCCCGGGGGGTCGAATGGGGGTCGAAATATTTGTTTTGTTTTTTTTTATATATTTGATATGTTTAATCACACTGCTTCCAATAACTTCCCTAATATTTTATGCATTAGCCTTAAATCATGATCATTTGGAAAATGATTGGTTTGTTTTGTGTATGTGTAAAATGGTTTCAAAATTAGCAGTTTTATGTGGATGGCAAAAAGGGGCCGAAAAAAATGGCCCCTCCCTAACCCAGGGGGTCATGATTTGTACAAACTTGAATCTACGTACCTCTTGAGAATGTTTCCATATTAATCAGGCTCTTGTTGTTCTTGAAAAGGAATGTGAAAGGTGAAGTTTTTGATGCAGTTGAATAGCTCTCAATAATACATATCAGCATATTACGTTTGATAAAAATATCTTGAATGATTTAATGAAACTGAGCTTAACACTTTTTTTTAAGAAAAGAGAGGTCAAAGGAAAGGCTGAGGTCAAAATGTTGTTGCAGTTGAAAAGCTCACATAAATATAAATTTAATAAATTACTATCAGCAAATGAAGTTTGATAAAAATATAATTAATGGTTTATTCAAAACTTAGATAAACACATATTTTAACTAGATGCTATCATGAGACAATAATACCCGAACTAAGGTGTTTGCCTCTAAATACACGCTCCTACATATTGGGCGGCTTTCCAAGGAAAAAGTCAAAATCTATAATTTACATGTATTCATCAAATTGAGTATGAAATTCTCAGACCCTGTGACCTATAACTCAGAACCTCTTATATTCATTTTACATGCTTAATTTATTATATACCAGTTTGAATTCTATTAATGATGTAAATTAGATTTTGATAAATGTTTTGCTCATAATAGGACCTTTTTAAATTTACTAACCCCCCCCCCCCCCAATCGACACCACAATCACACAGCACATACTTTTTGGAATAGGCTAGATGGAAAAGTTTTGTTAAAACATCGTTTGTTATGAATTACTTGTACTATACATGTTAACATGTAAATTTTTACATCACATCACGTTGCGTCACCCATTATCATATTTTT